AAAAATTTTTAGGCGGGTGAACAGTAACCAGGCGGGTGAACAGTAAATATAGCTACTGGAATTTGCATTTCCTTCCGGACAGACTTTACGAATGGGCATAACTTCTTCGTCCGAACTCCGAATGAGGTGAAACGAAGTGCGTTAGGTAGCTAACTGAAAGGGCTTTCCATGGATATATTATTGTCCACCCAAATAATTTGTGTGCTAGGAGATATGACCCTCCAAAGTAGACCCTCGAAAAAGGCTTCACTTGGAATTTTCGGATTTTGATACGGTTGCTCTAAAATTTGGGTTAGACCCATTTCCCACTCAATTTGACCCCCTAAACAAGAATATGAAGTCGGATTTTCGAAAAACGAAACGGATCTTTTTATAAGTAGCTAAACAAGTTTCCGGTAACTTCCGAAGCACATTTTTAAGAACTTTTTGGGTCAAATTCAAATATAATCATTTCATTAAGTTCTCGACTCTAAACTCACATGTGAGGCTCTTGTTTCACTCTATCATTTTCCGAGTCGTTACAGGTAAAGGCAATAATATTCCTAGATTTGTAACTTTTTTACTATTTGTAGGATTTTATGTAGTTATCTCCAAAATTGTGTTGTTATTTGTAATTTCATCTGCATCGATATAAATCTTCCTTTCCCTGTTCATTGAATAGTTGTTGGCACATCACTTGCTTCATTATTCAAAAACAAAATGATTATTGCTGGTTTGGTAAAGAAGAATAATTGAGGATGAGAAAAGTTGGCTTAATGCAAGTCATCTCCATTTTCTGCTGATAGGTCCGGGGTTTAGGTTACATTTTTTGGTTTGTGGTTGATCCCTCAAGGAAGAGTTCAAATCTGAACAGAGATAAAATGTTAAGTAATTTTTATTATCTGCTTTAAGTTTTCATAGAAAATGAACTTTAGCTACTATATCGAATCTGTGTCTCCTGCTGTTCTCCAGGAAATCGTGGCCCGGCTCGCAGTTGTTCAACCGTTTCTCTAGGAGATGTGTTGCTAAATGATTCATGTTACAACCATCTCCGAATTTTTAGAATACCCTCATACCTTCTCTGGAGACATAGATCTAGGTTACTGCTATTTGAGTCGACAGTACTCCACTATTGACCAGAAAGATACCAAATTTTCGTTAAATGTTTCAAGTGTGGTATAGGTAGAAGGAACTGGTATGAAAAAACCTTATGGACATGGTTTGAAAAAGGTGAAGTTTGAGGTAGAGTAAAACCGGTTATTCAATACTTGTGCTGGTGGAAGTAGTAGGTAGTTGGTGAAATAGATGAGCATGACATTGACCGTTATGAAACAACAACAACATACTCCGTATAATTCTACAAGTGGGGTCTGGGGATGGATAGCTGTTTTTCAAAAAAATTATAATCGAGGAAGCTTATGAGTCATGTTAAGTATGTTTTATGTGCTTACTTGTATTGTCCTTTAGTCATGAATTTCTTACAACAATTGGCATTATTCTAGCAACTTCCTCTTTAGAAAGAATTGTTAAATTGGTAGAGAATCAATTTGCATGTGGCCAACTAGCCAAAGCAATTAACACTAACAAGCCATTACCCATGAATTAATCATCTATAAACCATTAACTTTTTTTCCTTTCAAATTCAAGAAATACAAATGTCTTTAGCAACCATTTTCTTGTTCCTCTTCTGCTTTTCGGTTGTTGTTTCAGCCAATGAGAAGACATCAGCCTATGAAGAGCTTCAACACTATGACTTCCCAATTGGCATTCTTCCTAAAGGGGTGATAGGCTATGAGTTGAACTCAAAAACAGGCGAGTTCTCGGCGTATCTCAATGGCTCATGTAAGTTCATGTTGAGTTCATATGAGCTATATTATAAACCTGTGATAAAAGGAGTTATATCAAAAGGGAGGCTAATGAAATTGAGTGGTGTTACTGTTAAAGTTGTATTTCTATGGGTTAACATTGTTGAGGTTAGGAGAAGAGATGACAATCTCCAATTCTCTGTTGGATTTACTTCTGCAAATTTTCCTATTAGGAGCTTTGACAAATGCCCTCGTTGTGAATGTGGATTGCATTGTGTTAACGAGGGTGATGGGGACTTCAGGCAAAAGCTCCCCGTGTCTTCCTCGTAGAGTTCTCTTGCAGTGGTGTACACATAATTTTATGCATATAGTACTGTTTGTTTATTGTTACAACTCGTCTTGTCACGGGGTTTAGTTCTGGGGCTATGGGATTCCAGAACTATACTTTCTATTCAAAATTGATGTTGCTTTGAGAAATGCCTTCGTTGTAAATGTGGATTGTATTGTGTTAACGAGGATGTTAGGCAAAAGCTAAAAGCTTCTTGTGTCTTCCTCCTAGAGTCTAATAGTGGTGTACGCAGAATTTTGTGTAAGCAGTATCGTTTATTGTTACAACTCTTGTCACCGAGTTTAGTTCTGGTGCTATCGGGCTCCAGAACTACCTCATTGAAAATTCACTTTGAAGGTAAAGAAAGCACTTCATGCCAGAGAGGTTACCAACCTCAATTGGCATATGCACCATATGCTATAATGCATACTTGTAGTTGGTTCAATTTTTTTCTTTTTGAATTTTAAGAATAAGCAAGCTTGTATACAGAGGCAGAACCACCCTATAGGGTGGGGGTGCACGTGCACCCGTTAACTTCATAAAAATCATGTGTATATGTGTATATCTATTTTGAGAAATGGACATAAATTAGGATATAATTAATCGTGTACCCATGAAGAGTATAGGTTTTCTATTGTGCTGCTGGTACAAGCTAGAGGAAGCACCCATGAGACCTGAGTTTGAATCTAGCTACAATGCTATTTTATTGTTTTTATCTTAGAGCTAATATTGGTGCATGGAAAAGTTGGTATTTTTGTTTGATAGTATATCTAAAGCTAAAAGTTAGGGGAATTAGAACAAAACGTAACGTGCATCATCTATTTTCTTCATATAACATAACATAAATAAAAATATAAGCAATGCAATTTGTATTTTTTCTATAAGAACCAATAACGCTAATATAATATTATACCAGACTATAGTAGTGGACAAGATAAAAGCTAGCTGTCACTATTTCTCTTCATTGCATCTTCAATTATCGATTAATTAATTACGCCTTAATTCTAATTAATTACAAATAGTTGTATGTATAAGATTTAAGGAATTCGTAGTAGTTTAATTAAACTGTTTTCACACTAGTTTGACCTATTATAACTTTCTTCTTTTATTTAGACTTGCGATTGATGAACCTTGATTTAAAGCTCAAATACGTGTTTGTTGATAATTGTAGGTTTGAGTTAATTTTCGCGTACTTTAATTAATTTTATGTAATACTTGCTACCTCTTATCAGTACAACTGATATCAGATAACTTTGTTCATTAGACTTAGACAAGTAAAAAGAAATCACTAGTATTACTTAGTGTTAGCAGAGTACAAGAAACAACAATAATTAAGTGTCTAATATTCTAGATATTATAATTTGGATTATTGTGGACAAGTTGTGCACGTCATGGTTCAACTATCTATTTTTTTTTATTCATATGGTAAATGTTTTTCCATGTTGTGTTCGTTGTATATTTGTGTTCAACGAATCTGTTTTCATCATTAATTCCACTTGTCACTCTCTTATTTACACACAAAAAAGCTCACGCCACCAATGAAAATGAAAGATAAACTACTCTCTCCGACTCATTATAGTTATCGTGCTTATTAAAATAACTGATTCAAAATAAAGTTAATACAATATCTTTTAGGTGAAAAAAAATATGACAAATAAAATGAATAGAGAAAGTATATATAGTTTTGTGATGACATGTCAATTTAGGTCTCGTCTTATTTAACACTTTTCCGCACTATTATAGTATGACTAGAACTAGAAAAGTTATATGGAAATTCTTATCAATATCATAGAGGAAAACAAGTGGTGTTTTCCTATTTTGACGTAATATCGAAGATTGTAATGAAGAAATAAGTATTCATTCTATTTTTGAATAAAAGTTACAAATTTGAACTTGCTAATAAAGTGGTCTTTGATCAAGAGTGTTTCACTTCATTCAGCGTGATCAACCCGAATCAGTTGGATCTCGAAGTAGGTGGTAAGTATATATTCATTTTCATGTCTAATTAGAAGTTTCGAGTTCAAGTTATTTGCACTATAAGCTAATATTAAAGTAATTGAATACACATCCATTGTTTCAACTAATTTAATTTATACACAAGAAGATGATTAGGCAAAATATTAATTAATTAATAGCCAAGAATGATCATTATTGAGTGCTATTAATTTCTGGCCATTCATTCTGACATTGGATTAGTTAATACGGATTTATAATATAGGCATATATAATTTAAACTTTATAGCAGGTTACGTGCTTTATTTTGCAGAAGACTAATTTCACATAAGTTTTTTATTTATAAGGGAATATGATGGAATAAAAGTGGAGTATTTCATATTGTTAACATATAAAAGCTAAAATTGTTTAATATAGTAATCTATTCAATTCATCATGTTTAGCAAAAAGATAGATATTTTTTTTGTTTATTAGCAGACAATCACTTATTCAGACATAGAGAAACCTTTTTTCCTCCGCTTAGTCTTATCTATTGTCTGAAGGTGTTTTAGTGTTACCTTCAATAGAAACTGGACGATCGTCAAATAATGAGGGGTTTATGTATTATTTTTTATAACACGTCTGTCCAAATTCAAGAAAGTGATAGGTGCAACCATAATTTAAGTAATTGGAAGATGCACTACTATTTCAACTAATTTATGCATAAGAATCATTCAATGTTGTGACATGTCCTTGTTACCATCTGTTTTAATTTGGATGTGACATAATATTCAATAAAAATGAATTTGAAAATCGAGGTAGATGCACGTAGGACGAAGCAATGTTACGTGACATACTATTCATCTTAATTTTTTTTAGAATTAATAAATGTTAAAACATAAAGTGAACCTCTTCAAGCATAAAATTAAATTAAACCAATGAGACAAGGCCTTAAGTATTACCCAAAACCGATAAAAAGTAAATATGATGTTTATTTGAGTATTTTTTGTTGTTTTATTTAAATATTGATATCGCTTGTGAATTTTTTTAGGTATTTGAAAATTATGATCAATCCCAACAAAGATAATACTAGTTAATTTGTTTTCATCTGCTTAAATTTTAATAAACAAAATTATTTGATTACAGTACTACTAAAAAATAGTAAATATCTGATAAAATAATCGAAACACTAACCAACCGATTTTGTGTGAGCAATGGGAATGCAGTGTACATATGTCAGTTACTCTTGCTTGCCGTGTATATAACTAAGACCAATTTCAACGATTTTTTTCACCTAACTTAGAGAACAAAAAATACTAGAAATCATCAAATCAAAAGTGATAATAGGTCAAAGTAATATAGATTCAACGAATTCAATATTTCTTTACATGACACATAAATAATATATATCTATGTGAAAAATTATTATAAATTTCACTAATATTATATTCTAAATTATTAATTTCAAAAATATTATATCTAGAAGTAAAAACCTAAACACTCAACGTTTGAATTCTGAATCTGCCTCTACCTATCAACAAATGCAGATGCAATATAGGAGCAATAGGTTCAATTAAATTTTCTATACCAAACACAAACATATATGTAAGAAATTACTATAATTTTCACTAACATTACATCCTGAACTCATACTTTCAAAAGTACAATGAATTCAATGGTAAAAACATAAACGTTGAACATTTGAATCCTAAATCTGCCTGACACATGTAATATAGGTCCAACGTATTCAACTGAACTCAACATTTTTCCTATGCGGAAAACAAACATAATATGTGAGAAATTACTATATTTCCACTAACAATTCATTTTGAACTCATAATTCCAAAAGTATAACTATTGAACTCCAACATTCAAATCCTGAATTCGTCTCTACTCCTCGAGACGTGATTCTTGATCCTATAATTGTTTTTTGTTTTTCAATTTTGTCTAGGTTTGTACTTCAACAACATGTTTCTAAGCTCAGCAGCATCAATTTCCTTGGCATGACTTTCTGGTCTGTAATAACCAGTAACAGGATCTGGTACCCATGAAGTCTTGTTTGATTCCATCACATTGCTTCTAACAGCTCCACTACCAGAAACACCACCTTGTGATGCGGCCGCGTATCCACGCCTGCATAATCAGAGACGAATTCAGAATTTAAATATAATAACGTAAACCATCCTTATATACACATTAATAACAAATACACTAACGACAATGATATAAATGATCCCAAAAGTATATAATAAAGGGTAAAATTAAGATATTTTGAAAAAAACAGAACCAAGAATCATACAAAATTTATATGACTTACTTTCTGTTTTAATATGTCTCGACACAATTTCTATATTAAGTAACAATTTAACTTCAAAATATCAATTCTTAATGAAATAATTTATATAACTTTATCTGAAGGAAATTCAGATAAACCCCTCTTTTAACTTTGAAAAACAAAACATAGAGAAAAAAGAAATGATGTCTTTGTTTACCTCTGAATAGCTACAGAAACAGAGTCTACAACAAAAGCAGAGATATTTTTGCAGTTGGAGAAATAACGAGCCATTGTAATTGATGATCTTTGCTAAGAATAGAAGCGTTTAAAATTAAATTAAAGTTGCAACGGAAGAAATCGAAACTTTAATTACTTCCGCAGCAACAAATTTGAACTTTTTTTCTAATCTCTTTGCGTCGCAGCGATTCTTAGCTGTGTATATTATATTATATAAATGAAAGAAGGAAAATGTTAGATATGAAAAAAATAGTGTGAGGAAGAGAGGTATTTATAGACAATTTTGGAGGAAGAAGAAGTCAAATTTACCAGTTATTATTAGAATTTGTGTAATGGAGACGCGTTAATGACGGCTTCTAAGAAGGTGAAAAGGTCTTTCCTCTGGTCGTTCGTTGCCACTAAGGGCCATCTTAATCCGAGTCGGATATCGAATTTAAGCTTTATGAAATCGTTTGATATATGGATAAGAATGATAATTTTGAGCTAAAATTCAGGATTAACTTTGTAATATCGAGATTATTTTATTTATATTAAAATGATAGAATTATTGACTCATATGGAAGTTGAGATAAAATAGTCTCATGGATATTTCTATTTATCTCATTTCATGTAATTTTATAATTGAATGAGTTTATATTTATTATTTATTATAGTTTTATTAAAAAAGAAATCGTTGATAGTCAAACTATATGAATTTTTTACGTCTTTCTTCCAAATCAACATCTAGTTGTTGCCATCTATAACCGATTCAAAATTTGAAATTTATCAATTCTTAAAACAATTAAGTTATACTTTCTCCATCTATTTTTATCTATTTATTTTAACTTAACAAAAATGATAAATTTATTATACGGTAAAGGGTAAATATATTTTGTACTATAAAAAATAATTTAACTATATCTTCCATTTTAATTTTAATTTAAATATATTTTGTATGTTCTACTTTTAATTTAAATATATTCCTTCGTTAAAATTAAGCTCGTCCCCATTCATAACTAATAAATACACTAAACTTTATTTAACAAACAAAAAAAAAATAGATTACTCCCTATTTTCAACATATGGAATATTTTTTATTTTAGTCTGTTTAAAAAAAATATCACACTTTCTTATTTTATTTTATTTTTAATAAAATATTTTATAGTTATACAAATATTTATGTAGCATAGTGGCAACTTTTGCTTACTTTTCAAAATTCTGGAAGCAAACTGCAACTTGTCTACTTCTTAGTCGATACTTTTCTCTTTTGTTTGACCAATAATCAACTCTTTTTCGAGTCGAAATTTTTTATATTAGGGAATACAGTGTTCCCTAATAAAAGTGATTTCGTTTTTAAAGAAACTCGAATTTGAGATTTCTAATCACTTCACTAAAACCCTTATTGGTTCAATAATTTACCTTCATTTTCACGCATATAAGCATTATTAAACTTCGTGCATTCAAATTCGAATTGGAAACATATTGCAGTGCTATACTTCATCATTCGATCATGTCACCAAACTGTTATAATATTAAACAGATAATCTATTATTAAACTTTGTGCATCGATATTTCCTTCGATAATATATAACTATTTATTTATAAAATTAATTTCAATACTTAAAACTTATCAGCTATCTACCGAGGATTCTACATTTTATTTTAATTAAGAAAAAAAGGATTGGGATTGATTAAATTATTTGGCCCTTTGCTATGCAAACGGCCAGCATATAAATTATTATGCACAAAGTTAAATGTTTCTTCTTTATTTCAAGAGTTTAATCAATCAAATTAAAATAAGTCAAATCAAACATTATCATTTTTCCTTTTAATATAGTTTTTGATACATGGTGAGTAGTTGACCCAAAAAAGTAAACTGAATTCCTAAATTATAACAAGTTTTTTCTTCTTAAGTTTTTCATCCAAGGTCTGATATGCATTGGGATTCAATTAAATTCGAATCGTGCCTGAAAGTAGTCTCACACTAGGTGATAAAGCACTCTTTTTAACAAAAAAACGATTTCATACTTAACACTTAATAAGGTTCGAACCTCAGACCCTCTGAACTTTGATTAAAAATAAATGAGGTTTTATCACTTGATCACAAACTTATATTGATATATTATAATGAGCTATTACATAAACTATAAAATATTTTAAATTTTAAAAAACAGCTGGAAAACTTAACAAAGAGGTATAAGCCTTCTGGCCATAAATATAATGTTCATAAACATTCTAGTTGATAATTAATAAAACTTTTTTTATAATGGTAAGGTTAGCTAACTTAATTCTCACAACTTAATTAGAAGTGTAGAGTATATTAATGGCAAGATACCAATGATTAAAGTTGATTACTAAAGAGGTTCTTTAAAAATAAAAAATTCCTATACTAATAAGTAATAATACATGAATTGTTTACGCGGAGATTAATCATGAAAGGATTTGTATTTTTATTGTGGTTTTTAATCCGATATTTGATATTTGCATTAAAATTTGACTAAATCCAAATTCGTGCTAGAAAATTCTATATTGGGGTAGAACGCTTCTTGATAAAGGCAATTTTTATATCCAGAAAAACTCAAAGTTGAGACCTCTGATAATCATGAAAGGATTGTTATGCATAGAAGTGGAATTGGGTTTTTTGTTTATGAATTATAGATAAGATAGCTTAGTGCGTTATGGATAAATTTGTTTATATATATATTAAGTGAATTTTTAACTCAATTTAGAATCTGATCAAGCCAAAACTACCAGGTTCTACCAAAATTTGTATGCCGAACCACACGCCCCTTAATTATGCGGTGATTAATAATGAAAGAATTATTATGCGGTGATTAATAATGAAGAGAATATTAGACACGATAATATTCTTGTGAATATGTTTATTCATTTGGATTTTGGCCCCTCTTGCTATACTAACAGCCAGCATATGTAATACAATATAGTTTCTTTCTTTTCATGAATTAGATTAAATTAATATTAGTATGAAATATTATCATTTTAAATTAAATAAAAATTTACTATACATGGTGGGTAGTTGATCTTTTTCTCCATTACATAGGTAATCTTATGTTTATTCATAATTATCCATTTGTCTTATTAATTACATATGAATTATATATACTAACAACGCAAAAAAGAATATAATAAACCTGTAATAACTGATAGGATATGTTTTGTTTACTCTTTAGATATTACTTATGTATGTAAATAATGTTTGACAACTTTTATTTACAATATAACAATAACTACTATGGATCCCAAGCAAGTTGAAGTTGATCCATATAAAACTTTATTGTCCATATCGTCCATTTCAGCCTGTCTCAATCCAATATCCATCAATCAATACAATGAATATAAAAAAATTTACACTTTACCAAAATTCATAAGTGAGTACATGCATGCATGCAAATTGCAAGTGTGCAAGGCTACATTACATCGATCATTACAATACAACAATAACTATATCGAGTTGAAATCGACCACATAAATCTTCACTGTTCATATCGCTCCATTTAAGCCCATCGATCTCTGTCCAATATCCATAAATCAATACAATACAACAATAACAACTACTATCAATCCCAAGCAAGTCAGAATCGACCATAGATTGCCGTTTAATCCCGTCTGAGACCAATATCCATCGATAGATACAACAAGTATAAAAAATACCCCTTTCTAAGAATGATTTGGACTGATATTGTTATATAATACCAGAAACTCTGAGAGAAGATAGCACAACAAATATAAGCCATAACAACATGAAGAATATGCAAGTCACCCATGCCCAAACTCTTGGTCCGCCAAGCTCAGCACCGATAGTGAGTCGCCTAAACACCAAAACACCAATGCAGGCTACAGAAGTAGAGAAGAAAACAAGAAGAGAGAAACTTAGTCCTTCTGCATTGTCTATTTGCAACGGCTCGTTGTATGCAATGTAGTTGTACAGTGTATTGATTAGCCAGGGTACGCCAATGCCTATATAGATGTTCACCGAATTGCTACAAGGACAAAAACACTAAGTCAGACACCAGGATATCTTGTTCCAAGGAATGACAATGTCAAATTCACATTTCCTATCATTCTGGTTTTGGTCATAATGATTATGAGAGAAAAAGTGCAACCTACGTGAATTACTAGGCATAGGCTAACCACTGTGTTAAGGGGTCGTTTGGGAGAATCGTTTACTACAGCCAACCAAACACAGCACAAAGTTATTATGCACGGATTATATATTCTTATATGGCCAACCAAACATTGCACTTAGCTATGGTGAGATTATTTATTTTCCTAATCACTCCAACCAAACATCATATTATTTTATTCGGAATTATACACTGGAGCATTTTCCTAATCCCTCCAACCAAACGACCCCTTAGTCTTTTACCTTGCTGATAAGGGCAAAAACTAAACTTGACGAACTTCTATACCGCCTAAATTGCTATTCAGTGAGATTTGGAAAAAGGGAAAATGAAAATTAGAAAACAATAAAAGAAATTTGCCAAATCTCTATGGACTTGGCATGCCCTCTATTAGTGTAATATGTAATACAACAGTAATAGGTTAAGGGCATAGTTAACTGATAAAGAAACCTGCAGGTAATGTTAGCAATGGCAGAGTCCGCTGTAAGCTGACGTTCTGCAGCAATTTTGCTGGCCACGAGATCAGGCCATGAGGTTCCACTTGCCAAAGCTGTGAATGCAATGACGTAAGGATTTATTCCTGCAGGGACATTGTGTACAATATATATTCTTAGGTCGAGCAAGAACATTTATGATCATTATAAAAACACTTAATAATCTGAAGGGTCAAAACCTGTAACACAGCTTATCAAATCTGTGATTTTTGTCACTACATAAGCTATTCCACTGATGAATATCAAAGAGCATATGAAAGCAATCCACCCATGGGCAATCTGATACGGTGGCACAAACGCAAAAAGAAGCTTCCACGGTAGAAGAAGCAACTGCCAGAAAATTCTTGCAACGCGTAGGTATATATTATTCAATTTTCTGGATTCTGTACTCTCCAACTGAAAAGATTAACAAACAACCCCATTAATCCATCAAGGAAAGGGTGTGGAACAGGATAGTATTGTTACTGTAACTCGTAAGAGTAACGGTCTGAATTAGAGTCAGATTATTTTGAATAAACTATCAAATGAACAACATTATAGTAGTGCTAAGTGTTGAGCTTTATACATCCACCCCATTTTCATGCCTACTTAAGTTCATGAACATTGGGTAGTAACTAAACACAGCATCACTCACT